TGTTTATTTTTTCATTCGTTTAATGTTACATTTCTAGACAGGGACATTATTTCCTGTAGCAGTTGGCTAAAAAGTTGTAAGTCATGTAAAACCCACAGAAAGCAGCACACAAATAGAGGTGCTATCCCTTCCTTTATGGAGTTATAGTTAAAGGTGTACTGCAAAGCAAACTAAAATTTGCTATATGCCCTTTACTGCTCCCTTCTGCTGTTCAGCAATGGTCCCAAGTTTTTTTTTTTCTCCTTGTTATTTTTAACATTAAAAATAAAGACTATCAGGTGCTAAGCTTTACAGTTATATTCTTTCCTGGCAAAGTAGAGAAGAATGGAATATGTAGGGTGCTAGCCTGGGTCGTGGAAAACCTGTGATCAGTTCTGTTCTGCCAATGAGTTCTTGTGTGACCTTAGACTGTAGACAAATCACTTAAGTTCTCTGTGCATGAGTAGCTCACCTGGTCAATGGAGATAATAGTACTTCCCTAGCTCACTGGGGGGTTGTGAGATTCTGCTATGGTGATGGGGCCATATAAGTATCTTAGATAGCTAGAACTTCCATATTCTTTGGATATCCATAAAGGTGACTTCACAGGAGGCTAAAACGGGAGTGGCAGCAATCCCAGGTGGGGAGTAGCATTCCCCACAGTATCTGTGGGGCCAGGTCCATGATGATCTAAAGTGGCACAATCCCAGAGATGGGTTCTGTATTGCACCCTTTAGAATGAAGGGAAGAGCATACTCAGCATGCAACTATAAGGTGATTAAAACATAAGGAAAAGCCAAGGGTGGACTGAGTGTTTCAACATTTCTTTGTTTGAATTGCATTCAGAAGTGGGATTCCTGTGGCCTGTATTGTACAGAACAAAGGCAATCAATAAGGGAATGGTAAAGGAGGAGAATGGGAAGACACCACTTCAGTCTGTCAGTTGCTCCTCCTATGTTTTTCGTCTATTTTAGAAGACAATTAATGTAATTTCTTGTTATACTGTGAGCTGTTTCAGTACCAGCACTGGGGCATGTTTGATTATTCTAACCTGTCCATCATCACCATCTTATTGTGTGTTGTCTCTGGTAGTTATCTTTTCTTTTGCTTCTTTGAACACACCCTTCCCCTGATTTTTCAGCACATCCGACTCTCTAAAATCCATGAACCTGTGGGTGCCCATGTTGGGATAGCAGATCACCTTCTTTTGTCTACAGCTGCTTTGCAGTCTAGTGGGCTATTGATTTAGTTGTAGAACACATTGGGGGTGGGAGTGGAAATCAATATTTCATTAGGCAGACCAGAAGGCAGCAGTAATACAGCAGAGATCAATCCACGGCCCTAAGATGCTGGGTCAGACACCATGAGTTTAGGGTCACAACAAAAGGTGATATAAACATAAGGAGGCAAGTGGTTAAGGAACTGAATGGGGACTTGGGAGCACTGGATTCACTTCCTGGCATTGCTACAGACTGCCTGTGTGACCTTGGGCATGTCACTTAACCTCTCTGTGCTGCAGTTCTCACCTGTACAATGGGGATAGGTAATACCTCCCTACTTCACAGAGGTGACATGAGGATAAATTCATTAAGGTTTATGAAATGCTCAGATTGGGCCACAGATATACTTGGGGGTTAATTAAAGTGGGTGGTTTAAGAGATATTTTGTGGTAACTAAAATGTTAATAAAGATGTTTAGAAAATTATATTTGAAAAATTAAATGATTAAAAACCAAGGACTCATTCTCTTCATCAGGCCACCGAATGTAGTAGCAGGGTGTTTATTTATGCCTTGGTTGAATTCAGAGATACAAAAGACTAAAGGCTGTATGGGGGCAGATGGTGTGTGAATGGTATATTTGAAATAAAATTAGGCACATATTGTTATAATGAAACCGCTCTAAAATATACACCACCTGTCTAGAGCATATGTGCAAGGTATAAAATAAGAAGCCACCAGCTGTATAATACTGAGATTTGCAGGTTTGTTTATCCTCCAGCTTAGGGTCTGATCCATGAAGTCCATGGGAGTTTTTCCAAAGACGTTGATGTCTGAGACGCTAGGCACGTACTTGAGGCAGCTAGTCCCTCCCACTGCTCCATCGCTGTGGTGACACTCTATTTTTAGCATGCTAGCTCAATAGGAGCTAGTGCAAGTATGTCTCCTCGAGCCGGGAGTCACGCCCCCTCTGCAGGTCAAAGTGTAGACACACCCTAAAATCGACATATTTCAATTTAGCGTAAATGTGTTCCTAATTGACTTCATCTAAGTGAAATAACTGATTTAAAATGAAACCCGTGTGCCTGTGTAACCCACACACCTTCTGCATGTGGTGTTGTGTCCCATCTAGTGGCATTGAGACCACTTAGAGAGAGAGAGAAAGCAATTAATGAGTCTGCTCTACAGCCTTAGCTAACAGCCAGTTGGCTTTTAGCTTATGCGCTAAGCTCCAGAGCAGGGCCGGCTCCAGGGTTTTTGCCGCCCCAAGCAGGGGCGGTGGAAGCTGTGATTGCGATCCGCAGCAGCTCCACCGCGCCACTTTCTTCTTCGGCGGCAATTCGGCGGCAGGTCCTTCCCTCCGAGAGGGACCGAGGGACCCTCCGCCGAATTGCCGCCAAAGAGCCCGAGATGCTGCCCCTTCCCCTTGGCCACCCCAAGCACCTGCTTGCTCAGCTGGTGCCTGGAGCCGGCCCTGCTACAGAGGTCCCACGTTTGATCCCACCCACTGACAACCGGGGTCTGTCGACGTTGCACATGCAGCCTGTTACACCAATCTATCAGATTGGGTTTAAAATAAAATCTTGAGTTACAACAGTGGAATGCTGTATGTAGACAAGCCTGCGTATCACCTCTGTACAGCCAGTATAAGTGATGGTGCAATCAATCCCCCACTCATCCAGAAACATACTCACTAAGCATTTGTGTCCAGTAGGTAGCACAGGAATATGCTCATCCTCAAAGAATGGACAAATATCAGGGTTGGAAGGGACCTCAGGAGGTCATCTAGTCCATCCCCCTGCTAAAAGTGGGACCAATCCCCAGACAGATTTTTGCCCCAGATCCCTAAATGGCCCTCTCAAGGACTGAACTCATAACCCTAGGTTTAGTAGGCCAATGCTCAAACCACTGAGCTAGCTCTACCCCCGCTTACTTAAGTTTCACTTTATGCCTGTGGTGGCAAAAAGCACGTCTTCAGCTGTTTTTACAGAATGGGAAACTGAGGTAGAGAGGTTACTCCCTTTAATAATTTGCCTAAGGCCACAGAAGGAATCCATGAAAGGTTGAGACCACAGGCAGATTTTGTTTACCTCGTCTACTTATAGTGGAGATGCATCTTATGCCAGCAATAGAGTTCTTTTGCTGATATAGCTTATACCAAATTCTCCCCAAAAAACCAAGCTATATCAGCAAAAGGCTTTTTTGCCAGTCTAACTGCATCTATACCAGGACTTTTGCCAGGATATTTGTTGGCTGGGGTATGATTTTTCCCCACACACACTCCTAACTGATGGAGCTATGCTGGCGAAATATTCACACCTCCCGCTTGCTCATTTCCAGTGTTCCCTTCCCTTCTATCATCCCCTTAGGAAGCTTATTTCAAGCCACAAATAATGAGGCGTTTTGTTTGCTGTTTTTAAATATTACTAGAGTTTAGGTAATTTTCAGATAGTTGATGAAGTATTCCTTAGAACTCCGTCCTGCCTCTCCAGAAGGGAGGCAGCCTGGGGGTAGATGGAATGTTTGTCACTTTATTAAGGACATCAAATACAATGTGGCAGAAGTGTGTGTATGTGTGTGTGAGAGAGAGAGAGAGATTCTATTTCATCTTCTTTTTTCTAAACCGGCGCTTTGAGATCATTTTCTTGTTGGCTATGTCTTCTAATTAAATTTCACAGTGCCCTGAAAATGACTTGTTGCATGGCTGAGGAATTTAGGAGTCTGGTCTCAGAAAATCATGTGATGCACTGTAGTTCTGAGGTTGCAGGTGGTGTATATTGATTCCCAGTTCTATACTAGCTGTTAGATTTATAAATGTCTTGTGTTATGATTTGTTTGTTTACAATCAAGGGATATTATTTAGAGGTCAAAATTTCAATATTTAAGCACAGTCGTGTGTGTGTGTGTGTGTGTGTGTGTGTGTGTGTGTGTGTGTGTGAGAGAGAGAGAGAGAGAGAAAGAAAAACCTTTAAAACCCAGGAACCAATTAAAAGACTGATCAGCTCCCTAGATTTCAGCTCTTTATTATAGTACAAAGGGATGAGACCTGGTTCCATTGTATCTATGGAGTGTTGCTGTTGGCTACAAGGGGAGCAAGACAACTAAAGACGTGAAGGCAAATGTATAAAGATATGCCAGGCTTCTGAGCCTAACTCCTCGGGATCGGGATCTCTATCTCTGAAGCTGGACTAAAAGTGATATTGCTTTCTGAGAATTCAATAGGTGCTAACTCTGTATCTATAACAGACAAAACAATGAACCCAAATATTGCATTACAGCTTACTTGTATTAGGAGAAACTCAATTCTGTATCTGCGTATTCAGAGATCTTGTTCATCACGTATCGTTTTGGGCACTGGGCAGAAAAATCAACTGAAAAAATGGACAAGATTTTAAAACAGAAATGCGATAGAAGGCAGTAATGACTGCTGAGTACTCAAGACTTTTGAAAATCAGGCTACTTATGCAGGTGCAAATATCTGGCTATTTATTCAGGTGTACCCATTTTTGAAACTCTCTGCTGGTGTGTTATCCTTCATAAAGCAATACACATGACCAATGATTTTCGTAGGCTAAATGGTATTGCTGTGTGTTATTTAATAGATATTTGAATGACAATGTATATAATGCCTAATAAATATAATCTGTACAAAACATTATTACATGCTGCCAATTTTTAAAGTCTGCTTTTATAGGAAAGTAAACGTTAGATGTTGCCCAGAATTGACCTTAGAATATAGAAGATATCCGACATGGTGTGCCTACTGTTTGGCTAATTAATTTCTCTCTCTCTTTCACCTGCAGGAAAACATAAATATAGACGAAGCTTCCAGATGCCTGGTGAAACACATAATTGCTAGTGAGAGTGATCTAATGCAGCCCATTGAACCAGATATTATAAAACCACACCTGAATTCTTCTAATATTGTCAGTTGTTCAGCTTGCTTTAAATCCTAAGGGACGCCCAGACTATTCCTGGATACTAGAGCTGAGCAAATAGTTAACAATGAATAATTTATCCAAAATACACAACCTGTTTTTCTGCTCACAGAATATCCATGAGCAGACTGCAATTTTCTCAAATGTATGTGTTTTTTAAAATTATTCAATGATTTTTTGACTCTTTGGATTGATTGTGAACAGTTCACTTTAATAGTAACTATTCAAATTGTTTTGGTTAGTTGTGATTGGTCAGATAAGTCACACTGTGGTGTTCCTACTCCCTGATTAAATGAGTGAGCAAGAAATGCTCAGGCAAGTGATTTTAAAATTTGGTTAGGACATAAAAATGGCTATACTGGGTCAGACCAATGGTCCATCTAGCCTAGTATCCTGTCTTATGACCATGGGCAGTGCCAGACGCTTCAAAGAAAATCAACAGAACAGGGAAATTGCAAGTGATCCATCCCCTGTCATCTACTCCCAGCTTCTGGCAGTCAGAGGCTGAGGGATACCCAGAACATGGGGTTGCATCCCTGACCATCTTTGTTAACAGCCACTGGTGGACCTATCCTCCATGAACTTACCTAATTCTTTTTTGAACCCAGCTATAATTTTGGCCATCACAAATTTCCCTGGAAATGCGTTCCATGGGTTGACTGTGCGCTGTGTGAAGAAGTACTTCCTTATGTTTGTTTTAAATCTGCTGCCTATTAGTTTTATTGGGTGACCCCTAGTTCTTGTGCTATGTGAGGGGATAAATCACACTTCCCTGTTCACTTTCTCCACACCATTCATGATTTTATAGACCTCTTCATATCCCCCCATTGTTGTCTTTTTTCTAAGCTGAACAGTCCTAGTCTTTTTAATCACTCCCCGGTTATTGCAAGTACTTACTCATACGACTTGGAAATTTGCTTTCTAACCATAATTTTCCAGTAAAACTTAAATGCATGAATGTTGACAGAAAGTAAAAACAAAGGGGGGCTGGAGTGAATATTCATAGGATGTTTTTTGCAGTATTTACCTAGCTCTCCTGGGTACCTATTATGAATAACACATGAAATCTGAATTGTGGCAGTGTGGTCCAGTACATAGCGTCTGGATTCTAGTCCAGCCCTGCCACTTACCTTCTGTGCATCCTTGGGGAAGTCACTTCTGTTTCCCATCCAACTCTTTGCCTATCTTATCTTTTGGGGTAGTAAGCTCTTTGGGGCAAGGACTGTCTCTTACAATGTGTTTGTACAGTGCCTTGCACAATGGGATCCCAATCTCACCTGAGGCAGTTAGACACTACTGTAATATAAATAAGAATAATTCAACTGACTGCCGAGGTGGAGGTGAATGGGTGGGACACACATAGGCCCATGCTTAGGTCTTGTGTGGAGCAAAACAAAGTGTCCTTAAATTATGAAACAGGTCTTAAATTTTGGTCTGTGACTGAACCATCTCTTATTATTAAATATGCATTACAGAGTAGATCCAGGGACGGAGCTGTGACCAACCACAGCTTGCTAGTATTTGGTTTAAAGCCTCAAATTGTAAATATATTTTAGAGTAAGAAACAAGTCACAGCTTTTTAAAACAAAAAAATGCCAGTGCAGAACAGTCTGTTCTGTCTGTATCTAGGGACAGGTGTCATGCATAGGGAATTGCTGAATTCAAATCCAACCTCCGACATAGGCTCCTGCTGCGGCCTCGGTCCAATCACTTAACCTTTCTGCCTCAGCTTCCCCATCTGTAAAATAGAATTAATAGAATTTGCCTACCTCACTGGGCTTTTGGGCAGGTTATCGTCTGCATAGTGCTTTGGAGATTAAAACAGCTGTATAAGGGCTAAGCATTATTAGTGCGAAGCATGATGGCTACTGCCCTATTGCATGACTACATGTCTCTCTGATGTCTGTAAATAAAACTAGGGTTTGTCTTCACTGCAACAGCTGGCTCGAGTTTCTCCACTCCAGCTAGTCTAGTTTGAGTGGCAAAGGCCACACTGCGAAATAACAAGCTACACACTGATTGGATTAGCAGCTGATGAGTTGTGCTACCTCGAGCTTTGGCCTGTGGCTGCATCCCCACTGCATTACTAGCTTGAGCATCAGCAGCACTCAAGCTTCAACCCACATCTCCTGCTAGGCCAGCTAGCTTGAGCTTAAAGCACTGCTAAACTCCAGCGAGAGGTTTCTGTATGTGGACAGGAGTCAGGTCATCATCACTCGAGTTATACCTTGAGTTAATGCAGTGAGGTCCAGACTCCCTGGGACTAAATACTTTTTGATCCTCAGTGCTTTAGGTAAGGAACTAGATGTCTCAATGGGACCAGAGACATCTGATGTCTTGCTTTTCCAGAAACTAATATGTATGAGATTGTGGAGCTAAACTGTGTTGTAACTTGGTCTCCAAGTATCAGTGTGCTCTAGCTGTCCTCATCTTTACTTGTCCACAGCAGATTCCAATCAGTGTTCCTGAAACAGAAATGTAACCTCCTCCCAGACGTGCCTGTGGGAGAGCTTTGCCTAACCAAAGAGTTAGACATAATATTTCCTTGTTAAAAAGAAACAAAAATAAAACATTGAAAAACTAGTTTCTTTCCCTTAATGTGCTGTCTTAATGTCTGGTAAGCTCCCCACCTCCCATCCTTAGTTCTGCTGTGTGCTTTTTGATCAATCAAAGATTGGGGCCCGACTTTCCATTTAGGACAGGTACAGATCCACTACCTCATCTATCAGGGCCGAATTCTGCCCTGACTCTCTATGGATTGCATGACATGAACGTCAGTGCTGTGGTCATAAGTAGTTTCTCTTTGTTATGCTGAATAAAACACTGCAGTGCAGTGAAGAATCAGGCCCCTTTAAGGTGTGTAAAGGTAACATCATTCCAGATTTTTTCCTGACGGCTGTGCGCTGTTTTTATTTTACTTAGATGATGAGTAACTGCTAGGACACTTGCAATAAAACAAGAAATGCACAAACACCATCGGGTAAACAGAGATGCCGCATGCTGAGAGGATATAAGCACTCCAGAGAGAATGCATGAATGTGATCACGTTGTGACTAGATCCTTTCAGGACTGAGTATGAAATTTAATTTATTGTTTAAATCCCTGACTGGATGAGATTTCCTTGCGTGTTACTGATACATTTGGTATTATCTTGTCCTCTCCAGTGTTGGGGAGTGAGCTTTTGAATTCCATGGGCATTGTGAGGCAAAAAGGCTTTCACTCTGGACTTCTGGAATGCCCTTGCCCTGCTATAAGAAATGAAGGGTGGGTAGGGTGACCAGACAGCAAATGTGAAAAATCGGGACAGGGGATGGGGGTTTATAGGAGCCTATATCAGAAAAAGCCCCAAAATTCGGGACTGTCCCTATAAAATCTGGAAAGCTGGTCACCCTAAAGGTGGGCATGATTCTCCAGTGCCTTGCATATTGTGTAGTTATTGGCATCTGTGCAAAAGCGGGGTTAAAATGATAACAGATTAGAATACACCACTCGCACCACACGGTTAGTTTTTTACAATATCTTTGCACAGGTACAAATGAGCATACAAGCTGCTAGGCAGTGGAGAATCAGGCTTGAAATCTCCTGATAAGGAGACTTTTCTCTTTATTCAGAATTTTGGGAACATTTTGATGTTTTAGTGCCAGACTTTGCAAGTTTCCCCCTGCCAAACGTGGTAATGTCATTTTGCATTTTTATGTTGCTTTATATCTTTAGAGTTCTGTACGATCAGGATCTAACTGATTCTTACACACTCTTGGAGAAGCACATAAGTATCATTAACACCACATTTCAGAGGGGGAAATTTACACACAGAGGGGCAAGTTTGGCTCTCTTACACCTGTATGACCCCAGTGAATTTGGTGGGGTAAACTCCCATGGGAGCATCAGGCATTTGGCCCCTTTTAAAATCAGGCTTCATTCTTTTTATGCATTATGACTGCAAAGAACAAAGTTGTCCTTAACTTTTGCCAATCAGAAATCAGCTTATTCCCAACAATACATGTTTTGGCCATTACATCCTTCGTGTACATATCCTCAATTGACTGCACAGCTGATATTTTGTTTCTGGAGCCCATTGCTTTGGGTTTAAACCTACAAATAATTAGACCTCTTTTTTGCCCACGGATTTTTAAAGAAACTTGTCCATCTGAATTAAATGGAAATGGCAAATATATTTTAATGCAGGGAAATGCAATTTATGTCAATTGCTGGGAAACAGTTAATGCAAATACATTTAGTGCACCTGCATTTAAGCATATGACAGAAGGTTCTCATGGTAATTAATAATAATAAAAACCATTTCTGGCAGAACACAGAGTATGTATGTTCTGTAAAATTAATCAAACAAAATAAATGTACATGAATCCTTGTTTAACCCTATGCAAATTCAACTGCTCTCATGCAACACATCTCTGCTTCATGATTTTCTTTTTAGAATTGTTTCCTTTTGACTGTTCACTTGTTTTAACACACTCTATATAACCTGTCCCTTAATCTTTTACGATAAGTGTTTGGCATTAATAAAAGTATTATATACTTGAGAAAGGAGCTTTTCCTTCCCTTTTCCCCTCCCTCCTGCTGCCCCAATTAATCTTTTCCATTTTAAAGAGGCAGTTTAAGTCCCCAACTTCTGAAATGGCCTCAATTCGGCTTCTGTTTTTACAGGCACATTTTTGCGTCCACAAATAAATGCACCCGCAGTTTCGTGAGCCTATCTGAATGGCGCATGCAGTCATGGAACTCAGATGGGTAACACATTGCCTGTGTTTGCAAATCAGGTAGCTCTTAACTGGACCCATCATTAACTGTGAATGCAAAATTGTGATTGCAGCACTATTGCCCATCCCAACCATACAAAAATGAGTCAGCCAATGAGTTGACTCTCTACAAATATGAGATTGGCTAAAAAATCGTGAGTTTTTAAAAAAATAATAAATTTAAGGTAGGGTGCCTTTAGGTTTTGAATCCTTCAGGGCTTGTATTTTCAAGCTTTTTGCAGCCATGAGGGCTAGAGATTTTATTTAAAAAAAAAAAAAAAAAGAAAACTGAAATTCCCACATTACACCGTGACTCCAGAAACTGGGGCTTTAAGTAAAACAGTAAATATTGTGAGACTTGTGATAAAACCACAACATGTGGCAACACTGCTGCAGTATTACAGTGAGTCTCAAAATCAGGCCTTAGCCCCATCAAATAATTTGGGAATATTAATCTGATGAAAGCAACAAACAATTTATTTGCCGCTGCAGCACATAAAGCACCTAACTACTGGGCTGA